AGCAACACAATGTGTACACACCCCATTGTATGCTGCTGTGACTTTTTTCAGTCTGTATTGTGTGTGACTCAGTTCCTGTGGAGAAAATACAAATCTGGTTTGAAATAAATGAGTACAGTAGAACAATTTAAAACAGATTTTTAGAAACCACACAGTTTTTTAGACTGAAGAGCCACTTTCACACAAAACTGTAGAGAATCCTGTCAGAACATTATTCAAAGTTCATCTTTCTCACATTCATGGCAAAGCAGGAGTAACTTTGATTACTGGAAATGCTCTGCGTGCTTTTCACAGGCAGACACTCACTACCTGTGAATTTACCTGACACTTATTTGTTCTAATCTCACACTGGTACAAATCGCTGACATCACAAAGACTGCTCGAGCGCTGGCAGGTTACAGACCGGCTGATGACTGCGTTCTCACATCACTTGTGTCAGTGTTCAAGGCTGGCAGGCATGTGTGAAAACAGCTTAAGAAAAATGTTTAGGCTGAATAAGATAAGATTTCCCAAAAAACAAAAAAATAACATAATAGTTTAAATAAATAAGAATGGCCCATAAAGTAAAACGATATAAGGTAAAAAATTAACAATGTACACAAAAAAAAAATTAACACAAAGGAAAAAATATAATAAAATTTAAGATCTTAAAAATGACTAAAACAAATCAGATGTGATCAAATGATCAGTTAGTAAAAGTCCAATTGATACAGGTGACAAATTTTTCTTTTATTACAGAAGACGCTTTATTGGCTTTTAATAAATGACCAAAATTATAAAGTAGATATTTCTTTTGTACTCAGAGGTCATCCCATTCAAAAACAATCTCACACCTAACGTCCATACGGGAAGAAGCCGTTTTTGAACAGTTCAGCTCCTGTTAGCTTCATCATTTCAATGAAAAATCAAATAAGTCAGCATGTATTATTATCATTAACCATTTGATGTCAATACATTTGAAATCTTTTATTTTCTGTGCACACGCAGGACTTACAGAATCTGTCGGTCTCTGAGGAACAGCAGGAGGGGGTTTCTCAGGTCTCTGTGGTTCATTTCTTTTTATCTGAAAATATGTTTATAATATATTTACAGCATGTGATTATTTTAAACACCAGCTTAATTATTTATTTATGTGTTTATGACTCTACCTCTGTGGGCTTTGGAGGAGGTTTGGGCTATAAATGGAGAAGAGAGAGAAAAAAAGAGAAGCTGTTAGCTATGCTAAGTACTGTTTGGGCTTTGGGCGTTTAAAGGTTTAGCTTGTAATCTATTAGGCAAATATTAACAAGATGTGCGATTAGTCTCTAATATTCTCTGCAGCAGCTCAGACATACAGCATACATAAATAACAATTTGCAGCCATAACAAGAACAAGATATTGTGCAGCTTTTTGTGATGAAGTCAGTCCAGGATTAGAAGACACAGTAAACACTAAGATGACCTGAAAACACAGACAAAATAACTCCTCCAGCATCGTTCCTGCAAAGTACTTGAAAAATTCTACAGGAAAACTTGTTCAGTGTAAAAATGCAGCTTGTACACTGACTAATTTGTGCAAGTACTCTCAATTTACTTCAACACTTAAAACATCTGCACTGCAGGCTGTATATACATTTACAGCACCGTATGGGTGATGTGTTGGGGTTGTGCATTGCTTGTGTTCGTTCTGTGTTAACTGTAAATCTTCTCACCGACTTTGGTTTCTTCTTGACTTCTGGTTTCATCATACACGCCTCCATCCTGCCTGCAGAGAGAGATAAAGGGTTTAACTTCTTTGTGATGGCAGCATCACCATTTGTATGCCAACGGGAGCAGCAGCAGTAAGAGACCACCTTCCACCATTCAGCACAGCAAATATCGACTTGTGTCAGTTCATTGCATTCACTAGTTCATGCATTTATTACTTCCAGGCTGAACTACTGTAATTCATTATTATCAGGATGTCCTAAAGACTCCCTGAAAAGCCTTCAGCT